GTTTTGAGTCCAAAATTCATCTCCAACCCATATATTTTAAGGGGTGGAAATTTGAGATGGGTGGAATTTTGGGCGGAATTCCAGTCTGGGTTTTGCCTGGACTGGAAATTTTTTGTGGACCCCAACTCATGCTGCACAGCCCATATGAAGAGGGAAAATGGAGTGGGCCCTGCGCGGAAGAAAGTTGCGGCTCTCCCTTTGCTTTTGCATGACAAGTGGCAGCTCACCATTTGTAGTTATTGTTTCTTTCATTTTTTTATTTATTAAACTTGCAACTTAAAGTTGCTCTGTTTGGAGTAAAAAAAAAAAATTTGTTTTGAATTTTGGATTTTTTTAGGTTAACATGTTTAGAAAATTAAATCACGAATGTTGAAATAAAATTAATATCAAGAAAAATTAATGGCAAAAACAAATTGAATGCTAACTATTTTTAAACAATTTAGATAAAGTAGTAGACTCAAATTATGAGTCTACAAGGTTGGAGGAAAAAACAATTTGAGTCCTAAAAATACATGAATAGTTGTATTTTAAAAGGTGAAAATTTGAGTTTAGCCTCAACATGATTGGAGATGGTCTTACCTCCTCACGCCTCAAACTCATTTCCTCGAGGTCATCGTCAACAACACCATCAGACCCATTTCTACGCTTTTTTATGAGAAATTGAGCTGGAAATTAGATGATAAAGCTGATATGCAAAAGTGAAATTAGAAGCAAGAATCTTCTAAGAGTGATCGAGAGAAGTCTTTCGACCAAAAGATAAAAAAAAGAAAAAAGATTGAGATCAGTATTCTTTTGTCTGCACATGTCCTTCAATTAAATCTCACCACGGTTTTAACAGGAAACCGACCATTCAAATAAATGGCCTGACGTAGGGGGCCCCTATAATTGGTCTCTGAGCAGAACTTGTCCGAAATGAAATGATGCCCTCCTTCCTCTATGATCTATCATTGAAAAGCAAATGAAATTACTCATTGCCCAAAGAAGACTTGGACTCCCACTGGTCTCTGAGCAGAATTTAATGGGGTTCTTCCTCCCTATTTCATAAAAAAGAAAAGCAAAAAGACTGGAACTTTGAAACACCAGCCATACAAATTAAAATGGAAATCTTAAGAGACTGGAACTTTGATATATGTGTGTAACACAAAACATGGTCGTAGAATTTGTGATACATTTGCGTATTAAGGGATGCAACAACGGATGCCTCTTTGACAAATTGCTTTAAAACTTTTAAATTTTTTCTAGTTACATTTTTCGTTTCTTTTCTCATCGTAAACAAAAGTTATTTTTCTTCTCCTTATTGATGAGTTCTAGACGGATCATAAGTAAACGTTGTATAGAAAGGAAAAATCCATAACTTGATCAATTGTTCTCTTTTACTCCATATGTATCGTGAGGAAAAGACCAGGTAATTGCCTTGATATGTCCTTCAATTAAATCTCACCACAGTTTTACCAAGAAACCGACCATTCAAATAATTGGCCTGACGTGGGTGGCCCTTATAATTGGTCTCTGAGCAGAACTTGCCTGAAATGAATTGATGCCCTCCATTGAGAAAGCGTGGGCTTAGTGTAACTACACGGTTTCAACCTTTTCTCCCTCTCTCCCTTTCTCTCTCCCTCTCTCTCTCTGTCTGTCTGCTGGCCACTACTTATATCTCCTCTTTTCTGAGGCTGTTAGCTTTGCTTGTTCTTGTTAATTTCTTGGCTGATCTTGAGAAGTATTTTTTGTGGGTTTTGGTTGGCTTGCTTCGTCTACATTACCATATCTGCTTTGTTCAGGTAACATTAATTAATAAGCTAAAGCATATGCAGTTTATAGTTCACTGCTGTAGTGATGAGGCTTTTCAATGCCAACACAGTTGTTTTATAGATGTGGTATTTTTGTCTCTCTGCAGTAATATCTTTTGTAACACATGGTTAATATCATAATATGTCAAGTAGGTGACACATTTGCGCATTGTTTCAGAAAGGGATGCCACGATGGATTGAATACAGTTTTCAATAAAAATACTAGTGTGCCTAAACTTAAACTAAAATACCGATGTGCTTGCAAAGGACAAGATCTTGAAAGCAAAGCCATTTTGAGTCTATTGTTTGATTAATTTTCAGAATTAACTGGTTATTTTTTTTCATTGATGAGTTGTAGGAGTATGAAAAAACATGTAAAAGGAAAATCGTTCACCCCTTAACCAAATTTCGTTATTATCGTGAGGGAAATATCAAGTAATTACCTGCATATTTCCTTGAATTAAATCTCAGCACATTCCAATCAAACGAAAGCACTCTTTGAAAAGCAAAAGAATCATGTAGCTTTCTTTTATGGGGTTCTTCCTCCCTCATTGGTGAAAAGAGAAACCGTGTGCTCCTCACTACGCGGTTTCCAAGTCTCTCTCTTTTCTGAGGCTGCTAGCTTTGTTTCTTCTTGTTGGTTTCTTGGCTGATCTTTAGAAGTTGTATATTTTGTGAGTTTCTGGCAGGCTTGCTGGTCTTACAAATTCTATGGCTTTGTAATTTTTTCGGTGTTGAGGTAACACCAAGCTGAACTTGTTGGCTTGCTTCGTCTACATTTACATATATCTGTTTTGTTCAGGTAACATTAACTAAAGCATATCTGTTTTGTTTTAAACGTTGATAACATCATGACAAGACGACCATTGCAAGCTATTTATCATTTACCCAAATCTGCTTCCTCAACGTCGTCCTTATTTTTCCTCTGGATTACTAAATTTTAATCCTTTTCCTTTTGCAAGCCATTTATCATCATCTTCTATTTATTAGTTGAGTGTTTGGATTTATAAAGATTTAATTAGCGAAAGGCTTATTTTCATCGAGTGTTTACAGCAGCAGCAGATTGCCAAATGGCATTGATGAGCACCCAAAGAGACTCTGCCGTTCTTCCTTCACCTGATCAGTCTGCTCCTCAACCGAACCACGATGTGTTTTTGAGTTTCAGGGGTGAGGACACTCGAAATAGCTTTGTATCCCATTTATACCACGAATTGCAGCTCAGGGGCATTAAAACATTCAAGGAGCTTGCAATCATTGTTCTCTCGCCAAATTATGCGTCTTCTTCCTAGTGCTTGGATGAACTTACAAAGATTCTCCAATGCAAGAAATCCAAGAACACCGTTCTGCCAGTGTTTTATCATGTGGATCGCTCCGATGTGAGAAAACAAAGCGGCAGTTTTGCGGACGCCTTCGCTGAGCATGAGAAAAGGTTTAGGGAAGACATCGATAAGGTGAAGCGCTGGAGAGATGCTTTAACAGAAGTAGCCAATTTATCTGGGATAGATTCAAAGAATGAGTAAGCATGAATGAATGAACAACTTCTCTATATGTCTTAACAAAACCCATGGCTTATATTTTAGACTTCATTATCCTTTTACTTTTCCTCCTTGTAGGTGTGAAAGAAAGCTTATTGAAAATATTGTTGAATGGGTGTG